TAAATAGATATAGATTGGTGGATGGAGATAGATGGATGGTTGGACAGATAGATATAGATCGATGGACAGAGCCAGCTTATAGATAGATAGATAGATAGACAGACAGCTCTATTCCTCCAGTTGAAATTCAAAACTCCTTACCTTCATCGAAGTGAAATTTTGTTTCTTGCTTGTTTTCAAAATTGGGAAGGAAGTCACACTGCATTTCTTTGGCTTTCTAGCATCCATTTGAGTACTGCAAAAGAGACAGAGCGTGTGAAGTCGGCAGGAGGAGAGAAATACAGGTAAACCGCCCACAGTCTTCATGGATGGAGGATTTGAAGGAAAGTTGAGTGGAGTTTTGACTTCTCTTGTTTTCCAGGCCGTAGGGGGAGAGACAGGAAGGAGGGGGGGCGGGGGAAGACACCCAGCCACACATTCAGCCACACGACGGTCCCCTATAAATGGGGGACCCGGGGCGACCCACATAGCTTCATGTCTATGGATGGGTCCCTCTTCTCAAAGGGTTGGAAGTCTGGTGGTCTGGCACACTCTCCCCCCCCGCCCCCCTCCCCCTACACACACACCGGGGCCAGCACCTCTGCATTGCATAACATTTACTTTTTATCAATTGTGGGCCTTGAACTCGGAGCCTGGGCACTGTCCCTGAGCATTTTTTGCTCAAGCCTGGCTCTCTACCACTTTGAACCATAGCTCCACTTCTGGTTTTCTGGTGGTTCCTCGGAGATATGAGTCTCACAGACTTTGCTGCCCGGGGCTGGCTTTGAACCATGATCCTCAGATCTCAGCCTCCTGGGTAGCCAGGATGACAGGTGTGAGCCACTGGCACATGGCTTACATAGTATTTATTGTATATGCACTTTGGTGCCTAGACAGGGAAATACATTTCTGGAAATCTACTTGTTACATTTTTAGTACTTTCACTGATTTGCTCCTGTCTCCATTTTTTTGCTTCCTTTGCTTAGAAAAACCTTTTTCTATCCTTTCAATTGAAGTTTTACGTCTGATTTGTCAATGAGATGTGTTTTGTTTTTAAGTTTTTAAAATTTTTTTTCCTCCAATCCGACACACTGTCGTCTTGATTGGAGAATAACTTTGCCATTCAAGTGTTATGATTTTAATGTTGTTGTAATGTCTGAGTCTTTCCTAAATTCTCCCTTCTTTACTTTTTTCTTGTAGGTCTGAGACTGGGACTCAAACTCGGTACCTGGCACTTCTGCTCATCAGCGAGTGCCACACTTTCAGTTCCAACTTCTCTCTTTCCTAACACACTCCTGACTTTACTTTCATGGTGTTTTCCAAGTTGTGTTTATTTTCCATTTCTGTGTGAAGGAATTTCCCCAGATTTCATCTGCAGTGCTGGTTTGATGAATATGATTTCCTTGTGATTTCCTTTCGCCTTCCATTGGGAAGGCCAGCTTTGCTGGGCCCAGTCATCTAGTTAGCAGTTATATTCAGAGCTACACCTACATCAGCTAGAGGTGCATCTCTACAGGTGACTTAGTATTTCTTTCTTGTAGCGTTCAACATGCTTTCCATGAGTTTCTTACACAAATTTCATCCACACACACTAGTTGTACAAAGGGATCCACGGTGACACTTGTACATGTGAATATAATGTCCACTGAATCAACCTTACCCCCTTATTTCTCCCCCACCCCTCTTCCTAAAGAAATTTCTACGTGCAAGTCACATCTATCCAATGTTTTAATTACGAAAAGACATCAAGAACCTCTTTTCTTGTATGTTGTCCTAAAAATTCTCTAGAATCTACATAACTATTTCTCAAGACTTAGGAAACTTTACTATCTTATGAAATAACGGATTTGCACCTCTTCTCTTATGCCCGAGATTTATAGGTTTGGTCTTTTCATGGAGCATGATTATACTTTTATTTTTATGTTATTAGATGTTCTTATGTTTTCGTGTATGTCTGTCTGTCTGCTGTTTGTCCTGAGGCTTGAATTCAGGGTCTCAGCACTGTCCCTGAGCTTTTTTCCACTACCACGTTGAGCCACAGCTCCACCTCCGGTTTTCTGGTGGCTCACTGGAGATAACGGTCTTAGGGACTCTCCTTCCCCTTTGAGCCGCGATCCTCAGATCTCAGCGTCCTGGGTAGCTGGGATTATAGGCATGAGTCACGCAACTTGTGGATTTTCAAGACCTGGAAGAGGCTTTAGACACCATCTCACCCATTTTCCCACTCCGAGCAACCATCTTTCCTGGTGTTTCTCCTGATGGCAGTCTGTCTGTGGCTGGAATAGTTCTCCCAGCAGCATGGACCATTTTTCAAGCAATCCAGCTCACAGGTACTTGGCAAATATCAATGAGGAGAATTAAGATTGAGCAAAATGTCCTTCACACATCCTTGTTCTTGTCTGCAAAGTACAAAGAACTAATCCGCTCTCCTTTCACCTCAAGAATTCTTGAGCATTTAAGATCTGGGTTTGTTTCCCTCTTCTGCACCAGATCTTCTCCCAGCATTCCTTGGGGTTTTCTCCCAACATTCTTCGGGGCGTCTTCTTCTCCCACAGTACTTTGCCCATGGAAGCATGCAGTTTGTTTCCTTCATCTGTGTGTATGCGTGTACACACGATTGTGGGTGTGGGTGTGTCTCTCTTAAAGTGGTCTCTTAGTTTTCTAGTCTAGCTGTGTTCTGGTCACCTGCCAGTCAGTCAGTGTTTGTATTTTGCAGCTGGATTCACACTTGCTGGTTTCAACCCCCCCCCCCCCCCCACGGAGCTCACGTATTACTTGGATTCAGCAGAAAATCCCAACTCCTGTCCTGGGTCCCTGGCAAGTTTGGTCAGCCTTGCATTGTAGCCAGATTATAGACAACACTACGGAGGTGGAGAGGGCAAAGGCAGGGGGTGGCTGGCATCTTGCTAGAGACTCTTCAGGTTTCTTCTGCTGTCTGAGTGAGGACTGAGACAGAGGCTTAAACCCCAAAGCCGGTGAGAGATAATCCACGCTCCACGACTCCCTGGAGCATCTAGACCTTCCGTCACCTACTTGGACAGCAGGTGACTCGTGTGTCCCAAGCCAGGGCTTCGCACCTGAGCTTCCACAGCTCAAGTGCTCCCACTCAAACCAGCCTGGAGGCCGCACAGCAAAGTTGAAGACTGGTCACACAGGACGTTTGTTCACACCATGCCAGTGGGGGGGGGAGGGGGTGGATTGGGGGAGGGGGACGCAAGATCTCTCAAGCCTGGATGGGCTGGCTAAGGATGCCACAAACTCACTAGGCTTGAAACACTCGCAGAAACTTGAGTTGTTCACCACTTTTGAGAGGAAAAAAAAAATAACAGTAGTAAGTCTAATACTGAGAAGTCCCTTAGAATGAGAGCAGATAGCGCCGGGTGAGGAAGGCAGGATTCCATTGGTGGGGTCTCGGCCCTTCCCCCCCCCCGTGCTCTGGGGTCACGGGGGTCGTGGGAACACACTTCCCGGGGGTCGGATGCTCATCCATGCAAAGGGGGAGGACGCACACGGGCTCACAGCACTGGGAGGAAGATGGGGGAAGGGAGGAACTGCCACGTCAGGGCTGGAGTCCTGGGTTCGGGGACAGAGTTCACTGTAACCCTTCATCTCCTACGCCCAAGCGTGGCTGGGATTGGGGGAGAGCGCTAGCCACTGAACAGAAGGTATGCGTGGTCCAGAGGATGCACACGCGCACGCGCACGCACACACAGGAGCAAGATCTCTTTCCCCTGTGCACTCACACCCCTCCTTCTCTCCTGGGGCCATGCTGGAAATCAGCTGTTTCTGCACTTGTTTTCCCTTAGAAAGGCTGGGGCACAGCAGGGGCTGGCGCGCACACACACACACCCCTCCCCGCTCCCCACCAATCCCTGGTGCCTGGGAGACCCTTACTTTGTCCCAGTAGGGGTGGGAGGAGTGAGGAGCTGCATCAGGCTGGCGCAGACTACTGGGCTGCTACAGCTGCTCCGGGAGGGAGGGTGAGCCACCTGCCTGGGGAGGGCGGGGCCACCCCCTCCTCCTTCCGTTGCTGTGGTAACACATCTCACCCTTTTTGTGACTCCAGAGATGAGTGCTCTGAGGCCCTGCTGCAGTCCCAACCACCCTTCCCATCAGCCTAACACCACCCGGGGCCTTTCCTCCTCCCGCTTGGGGCCTTTCCTCCTCCCGCTCTCTTTCTTGTCCCTGAGTGACCAGTGGAGGGAGCGGTTGGGGAACCAACCCCAACTCAGGGGGGAAAAGCAATGTGGGAGTGAGGCATTAGGGGAGAAGAACGAAACTTGAGAGTGTGTTTCAGGGAGCTGGTGGCTGGTGCCTGGAATCCTAGATTCTCAGGAGGTTGAGATCGAAGGACCGTGGTTCAAAGCCAGCCCTGGCAGAAAAAGTCTAAAAGACTCATATCCAATCAACCACCAAAAAAAAAAAAAAAACAGAAACAAAACAACATGGAGGAGGGGGAGCTGGGGGTGGGGAAGGAAAGTGGGAGAAAATGAGGGAGGAGGTTTGGCAAGAAATACACGCGTGACTTCACTTATGTAACTGTAACCCCTCTGTACACCATCTTTGCCATAAAATTAAAATTCAAACTAAAAAGCCCAAGTGAAGCTGCGGCTCAGATGGTAGAGAAAAAACCAGAAGAGGAGGCGTGGCTCAAGTGGTCGAGTGAAAAAGCCAGGTCTTGAGTGCAAGCCCCAGTACCAGCACGAGCACGCAGACAGACAGACAGACAGACACACACACACACACAGTCACAGGCGGAGGTTAAAATTCTCATCATAAATATAAAGGACGCCTTGGTATTCTGAGTCATGACCAATTCCGATCTAAGCCTCCTGGAGTCGCGTCTCCCGCCACACCAGGGCCCCCCCATCTTTCAAGAACAGCTCGGACCAGCGGGGGGACAGGGCAAGGCAGGTCCCAGGCCGGGGCTGGCCACGAGCCAGGACTCATCACGGTCTCGCGTGGCTGTGACCCGTACACTAGGACACGTGGGTGCGACGCTATTGACAAAGACCGTCTCGGAACTTTCCCACATTTATTCACGGTTTTGACAGTGAAGAGTTCCTAAACCGGGCCCTCTCCATTCTGCGCGCTCTAGACATTTCGATGTCATTTTCAGCATTCGGAATTCTCCCTAGGGGAAGATTTGGCTCAAGTACAAAAGACCCTTGAGGGAAAACTGGTAGGGGAGCTTCGGAGCACCCCTACTGATGTCAGGAATAGCTCCTGGAGATGAACCGCGCAGACTGGGAAGGCCCTGCTGAGCGCTTCGCCTAAGAAAACCCCCTCCTGGTGGAGAAAACAGGTGCCACTCACAGACTCACGGGGGACACTGTTTTCGAGGCATGGCGGGATTCCTGGCTACCATCCATCTTCAACTATAAACACGCACCAAATGCAAGTACATTCAAGAACTGCGGGCGGGCGGCCGTCTGGCTGCTACCACGGGTGGCTGCTGGCGGCGCTGGGGTGCAAAGGCTTCACGCGGGCCAATCGGGACAGGCCAAGGCGGAGACTGTGACTAGGGGGTGGAGCAGAGCCTCCAGTCACCCGGATGCTGCTGTTTCCAGACGGGGCTGAAAGAGAGCACACCATGAATTGCTAATAACAGAAAAAGCAGGAGTAGCCGAAGCATGGCTCTGCTTCCCAGAATTCAACAAACACTAAGCAAGAGCAGAAGAAAAGACAAGGACTGGAGACCAATGCCGGGCCCTGGTGGCTCACGCCTGTCACCCTAGCAGCTCAGGAGGCTGAGGTCGGAGGATCGCAGTTCAAAGGCAGCCTGGGCAGGAAAGTCCGGGAGGATCTTATCTCAATTAACCAGCAAAAAGCCAGAAGTGGAGCTGTGGCTCAAATAGTAGAGCACAAGCCTTGAGTGAAAAAGTTCGGGGAAGCCAGGCACCAGTGGCTCGCATCTGTAATCCTAGCTACTGAGAAGGCTGAGATCCAAGGATCAAAGTTCAAAGCCAGTCCAGGCAAGAAAGTGCAGGAGACTCTTATCTCCAATTAACTTCCAGAAAATCGGAAGTGGCGCTGTGGTTCAAAGTTACGGTAGAGCACTAGCCTTGAGCAGGAGAGCTCAGGGACAGCGCCCAGGCCCAGAGTTCAAACCCCATGACAAAAAAAAAGAGAAAAAGAAAAAGCTAAGGAGCAATGCTCAAGCCCTGAGTTCAAGCCTTAGTACCACCACACGAAAAGAGAGGAAGAGAGAGAGCAGATCACAGGCTGAGCATCCTTAATCTGAAAAACCAAAATACAAAATGCCAAAATTAGACACCCTGCTGGCTCCAAGCCAGGGCGGTCACATGGACTGGAGAAACTCAGCTGCTTTGACTCTAAGAGGCAAAGGGCCCACGCTGTCCCACTGTCTGTCCTGGGGTCTGGGCCCCCAGCGACATCAGCCCTGCCCCCCCCCCCCCGATATGGGAACGCTGTAAACACCACATGCATTCTGACACCAGCCGGCCACCACCCCTGCAAGGCCCTTCCATCGTTCTGACTTCCATAGTGATTCTTCAACTTCCATAGTGATTGTGTCGTTTCTGTTTTTAAAACCTGTATGTGGGTTATCGTTAAGTAGTTGTACCAAGGGGCTTCCGTTGGGCATGTCAGCTGATGAGCCTGAGGCGTCTTCATCAAATCACGATCATCTCTCTTTCCTCCAGGGAAGAGCTGCTATGCTCACAAGGAATGAACTAAGGATCAGATTGCTGTGCTATGTATGGTGCACTGATGTCAGTCACTAACCATCCCCTTCTGCTTCTCTACAGCCTTTTATGTCCTCATCAAAAGGCCCGACGACTCTGAAATCAGAAAGGACTCAACAGCCGATGTCTGTGAATACAGACAAGTTTGATGAGCAGTCGCTACCCAGTGCCGATCCCTAGCGATCACTCAAGGTGGAGGCCAATCAGAAAAAGGCTAGTCTAAAGATGTGAACTTCAGGAAGCTTCATGAAGGGCTCAGGAAGAGAGAAGATGTGAAAGAAAACGTATCAGATGGGGAGGTACACAGATTAAGCGAATCCAATCAACAGGATGTGTAAGGAACTAAAAAGAAAAGAGAAGCTAGGCGCTGGTGGCTCACGCCTGCCATCCCAGCGACTCAGGAGGCTGAGATCTGAGCATCACGGTTCAAAGCCCACCTGGGTGGGAAAAGTCGGTGAGATTCTTACCTCCAATGAACCACCAGAAAACTGGAAGTTCTGTGGCTCAAAGTTGTAGAGTGTGGCCTTGAGCAAAATTGCTCAGGGACAGCGTTTGGGCCCCCAGTTCAAGCCCCACCACCAAAAAAAAATAAAAATTAATAAATAAAACAAAAATCCAATGATCTGCACCATCCACACCATGGTTGGCAAACGAGCCCAGGATGAGTAACGGAGAACACGAGTCTCCCACAACACGTGCTGACCGGGCGTATGGGGCCCCGCACTCCTAAGGACTGACGTGGGCGCGTGCGTGGCAAGCTGGGGCTGGCTATGGAGGCCCCTACCTGGGGGGACCCACGTGGGTCTCTTCCTTTCGGCTGGAGGGCTGCGTCTTTGTGCTGGTGTTCTAGGAGCCTTGGAAGAAAGCACAGCCTTGCTGGGTGAGGGCTGCGATTCCAATTTGACAGCAGCTGGAGACGAGGCCACTGAAGTCCCTTATGGGGAAAGGTAGAAAAGTGTGTCAGATGGGAAGATGATAGTTCAAATGTAGCGTACATGAACAAAAACTACAAAAGTTCAATCAGTGCCAGTGGCTCACAACTAGAATGCCAGCTACTCATGTAGCCCAGGCTGGCCTCCACTCACCATCCTCCTGTGCCAGCCTCCCCGGCACTGGGATTACAGAGGAGGTGCCAGCACCCCCAGTAGGTGTGCTGTCTTCTAGGAATATTTATACGCCAGGCAACCTCCTTACCACGACCCTGACCAGAGACTACTGCCCCCTACTGACAGCGGTGGAAATGGAGAGATCAGAAACCACGATACAACAGGGAAGGAAGTGGGGAGGGCTGGCCCCATCTAGAAGGGACGCGGGAGCAGGGTCCAAGCCCTCAGAGCCACGCAGGTGGGAAACAAACACTCAGAAAGGGATCTGAGGCCTTGGGCTAAGTTTTCGCAGAAGTGAGGGCTGGGCGGAGGAGGATCAGGAGTCTGAGGCCAGGCTGGGCAGCACAGCAGAAGTTTGTCTCAAAAGTCAGCATGCCAGCAAGGGCAGATGCCTTGGGAGATCGGCTTCAGAAATGGGACGGCAGAGGTGTTCACTCGGACACGGCCAGGTCCTGTCACAGACGAGCTGCCAATGACACAGGTCGCAGAGAATGAACACGAGAAGGGGAGCAGTTCGGGTTCTTTTCTTGGAGTAAGGGGGAAAAAGAGGTAGAATAGAAGCCCACTTTCAGCTCATGGTTACTCTGGAATCCAAAGGGCTAACATGATGTATAAGAAATCTGGGCAAAAGTGGCTCCCACCTGTCATCCCAGCTACCCAGGAGGCTGAGATCTGAGGATCGCAGTTCAAAGTCAGTCTGGACAGGAAAGTCCGTGAGACTCTGATCTCCAATAAACCACCAAAAAGCCAGAAGTGGGGCTGTGGCTCAAGTGATAAGAGCACCAGCTCCGAGTAAAAAAGCTCAGGGACAGCACCAAGGCCCTGAGATCAAGCCCCAGGACTAGCACAAGAAAAGACTTTTTTTACTTGGATTTCTTCTGGAAATGTCTTAGACATATTACAAAAGAGTTCTCCACTCAGAGATCAGGTCAAGAAGCAAAGCAAGAACTTTCAAGTTTCTCTGCTTAACTGTCCAGAGAAAAAGTGGATCAGGAGAGTGAGCAAACTCTCGGACGGGACAAACGTGGGTCCCCCTTCAGCCTCTTATTAGCAGACCTGAGGCTTTGAACGATCACGTATCTGCCTGTCAGAGACTCCACCCTCCCCTGGTGGATACAGGTGTGCTGACTGTCCACAGGCACCCTTCCATCCTACGCAGCCAGATGCTGGAAAGGACAAAGGTGGAGACCAGGCAAGCGCAGCAATCACACAGAAGGCATTTCATGTACAATGGAAGCGGTCTGCAAGCTTACCCAACGGACTGCATTTGGGTTTTGTTTTCTTCTCTTTCTTCTCTGGTGGGGGTTTCACCTTCATTTCTTCCATTTTCATTGCCTTGACTTTACTTTTGGTCACAGTGAAGTCCTCGTCGGTGTCTTCGCTCTCACTGAAATCAGAATCCTCCCCCTCTTCTCCTGAAATGAAAGGCCACGTGGGCTGTCTTTGTTCCAAAGGGCGGGACTTCCGTTCCCTGGGCTCCTCCCCAGCCACCAGCTCTGCGCACATCTCTGTACCCCGGTGTGAATGGAGGGTGTCTGGCTTTGAATCCTGGCTTTCCACTTCCATGCAGGCCTCACAGTGCCTCGATTTCCCCACCTAGAAAATGGAGGTAACTACCAGGTGCTGGTGGCTCCTATCAGTGAGCCTAACTACTCAAGAGGCTGAGATCTGAGGATCACAGTTTGAAGCCAGCCTGGGCAGGGAAGGCTGTGAGACTGATCTCCCATGAACCAGCAAAAAGCCAAAAGTAGTCGTGTGGCTCATGGACTACAGGGCCAACCTTGAGCAAAAAGTTCCAAGTGAGAGCACAAGGTTCTGAGTTCAAGCTCCAGTACCGGCACAAACAAAAAGAAAAGAAAATGATTGTAACCATAAGGCCTACCTCACAAGGCTGCTACAGGCTAAATATCTATACACATGTGCTGAGTATGGGATATATTGGTATGCATGTAGTAACTAGCTAGCTAGATACATACATATACAGATATATATATATATAGTGCTTAGTCCCAGCCCTGGAATTTCCCTTCAGTGATCCTTACTTGGAATTTTACCATTTTTACTGAGACGCCAGAGAAGAATCATCAGGGGATGACCTGTATGCTAACCCAATGTCACATGATCCTTAGTCACATGAGGAGCCCTCTCCCAGCAGTGCACTGACAAGCCCAGATCTGACTCCCAGGAGACACCTGCCCCGCCATGCTCTGGTCTGCATGGTACGGGCTGCTCCCCGACAGCTGTGGACCTGGGGCAGAGCCCTGTGCAGACGCTGGGCTCTGGGAGGAAGCCTTTGGGCCATGCCTTGGACAAGCAGCATTTAGACAAATGAAGGGGCTAAAATGGCCTCTGGATGGATGGAAAGGCAAAAACAGTGGAGTCACCAGGAGGCCGTCCATCAGCTCAGTGAGGCTGCCCGGAAGTAGCTGCAGGAGGACGGAAGAGGCCGACGCACTAGGTGCTGAGTGAGTTCTTCCTGTAGATGCCCCCCCCCGCCCCAGCAGGATGGAATTCTGGGGGGCGTTAGTCCTGCAGCAGATCTGACTCACCAGCGGGGCCGTCTGAGCCGGAGGAGGCCTCGGGGCTGTCGCCGCTGCTGTCTTCCTCGAGAACCTTCCTCTGCTGAGCCGCAGCTGTGCACGCTGCTCTTCTCTTCCCTCGGACGCCGGGTGCATCGCCATCACCCTCCCCCGCGGTCCTGGCCAGGTCTTCACGGCGCGCCCAACAGCAAGAGAAAGCGCTTTGTAACAGCTAAGATTTCAGCAAGGCTCTATGGCTCTGCTGCTTCTCCCTTCCGGGGTCCCCGGCCCCTACTCCTAACATACTCCCCAGTCCAGCGGGGCCTTCACAGCCCCCCCCCCCCCCGCCACTCCAGCCCCCCCAGCCCCCTGGCAGTAGTTTTAAGGATAAGTCCAGAACCCCAAGGGACAGTTTTTCCCCCCAAGAAATTCCAAGATGGAACTGGGAGGAGGCTATCCTTTTTTTCTGTCGGTCATGGGCTTGAACTCAGGGCCTCAGCCCTGTTTTGTTGTTTTTGTTTTTGCTCAAGGCTAATGCTCTACCACTTGAGCCACGGCGCCATTGCTGGTTTTCTGGTGGTTCACTGGAGATAAGAGTCTCATGGACTTCCCTACTTGGACTGAGTGTGAACCCTAATCCTCGGGTCTCAGCCTCCTGAGTAGCTAGGATGACAGGCGGGAGCCACCCGTGCCCAGATGCCATCCCCTTTTTTAGTGGTCCGGTGACACAGACCAGAGAGTCAAGGGTCATAGTCTAGAGGTCCTGGGTAATTATAACCCTCCAGCAGGGAAAGAAGTAGGTGTGCAGTCAGACTGACAAGACTAAACACTGAAAGGGAGGGGGAGGCTGAAGGATAAGGAGGCTGGGCAGAGTGGAAGACTTTGGCTGGCTCTAGCTCTGGAATCAAAAATCCAAACAAAAGTGACTAGAACAGCACTGTGAACGAGAAGCTATTAGAAGATGAGAAACTTACCTGAAGAGTCACAGGCTACGGGGCAACCAGAGACGATAGGAGACTCACGCGTCGTTCCTGCTTCGCTGCCGCCATGTTTTCCAACACCTAAATATAAGGGATAAGGAAGAAAACTCAGACACACTCTAATTGAGCAGACTCAGGCTGCGTCCCCCAGAAAGGATTCTGCACCCCAACCAGCAGAGATGGTACTTGGAAAGGTGAGATTTATTAGGACTTTGGGCCCTGAAATCAAACCTGCCTGCAGTGCAGATGCAGACTTGCAAGACTAAACGGGCCCATCTTTTTTTTTTGGGGGGGGGGTCCCGTCATGGGGCCTGAACTCTGGGCCTGGGCGCTGTCCCTCAGCTCTTCAGCTCAAGGCTGGCGCTCTACCACTTGAGCCACAGCGCCACTTCCAGCTTTTTTCTTTTTTGCTTATGTGGTACTGAGGAATCGAACCCAGGGCTTTGAGCATGCAAGGCAAGCGCTCTACCACTGAGCCACCTTCCCAGCCCCTCAATGGGCCCATCTTTAACAGAGAGATGGGAGATGAACTGTTGATCTCCCACGGAAATAGCTTAACAATCTCTGAACTCCTGAAAACAGTCACTGAGCATGAACTGTTAAGTCTGTGAGGGCAAATGCACAGCTGCTCGGGACCAGAGAGCCGAAGTGGGTTGACAGGGCTGTGCAGGGCATCTGATCAGGCCAGGCTCCCAGGCCACATACTCCGCTTATTATGGGTGGTGAACAGAGATGGGTGTTGTATGACACCAAGATGGCGGAGTGAGGAATTCTACCCAAATGCACCGCTCAACTCGGCTCTCTCTGGAGTCCCAAACTGTGTCCTTTCCCCTGTGAGGACCCTTCCAAACAAACACCCACAGACACAGCGACCAATGCACAGAAAGCAGAGTTACTTTGACCACTGGATGCCGGCACATCACCGTTGACTGTTGGACGTTGCTTCGCTGACAATGCCAGAGCAGCTTCCAGGCCTCTCTGGAAGATCTTGTCATCCAAAGGCACCCTACAAAACACAAGCCCCGCACACGATGAGACTTCCCAGGGACCAGGGTCAGGGAACAGCAGGCTATTGAGATGATAAAGGTGACAGACAGAGCGTGACGTAAGTCAGGCAATGATCGCATTTCTTTTGGGACCCTGTCCCCCCTTCCCTGGCTCTCTCTCGGTGTTTCCCTCCCATCCCCACCCACAAGTTGTAGAGTTCATTCTCCACCTCGTGTCCAGTGAGGACCACAGCTACATTTGTTCATCCTTTGTCCCTCCATTTCTGTGTCCCCCCAAGGATAGATAAATGAACAAACAAGACAAAAAGGAAACAAAAACAGCTACAAAGGAAAAAAACTTGGCTTCCATTCCCTGGAGTTCATCTGGATAGACATATGATCAGAGGGACACAGGCATGGCGCCTTTGTGATCCTCTCTTACGAGCGTTCTCCGTGGGAATGCCTAGAGTCCTGTATCACTTATTACGTCCTGGTATGCACGCGCATGCGCGCACACACACACATTTTTTTTTGGTCAGTAGTGGGGCTTGAACTCTGGGCCTGGACGCTGTCCCTCAGCTCTTCAGTTCAAGGCTAGCGCTCTACCACTTGAGCCACAGCGCCACTTACGCCTTTTTCTGTTTCTGTGATGCTCAGGAATTGAACCCAGGGCCTTCTGCATGCGAGGCGAGCATTGTACCACTGAGCCACCTGCCCTGGTGTATTTTACATTTATCTCCTGCACAGGAGAAAGAACATGGCACCATTTGTGTCTCTGAGCCTGGCTGACCTCACTCAACATGATTTGTTCTGGGTCTCTCCACTTCCCTACAAATGACATATTATTACTCTAATGGCTGTGTCAAATTCCATCGTGTGGAGGTACCCCGGTTTCTGGATCCACGCCTCTGTGGGGGGGAGTCTGGGCTGTTTCCGGGACCTGGCCCTGGTGAATGCGCAGCAGGGAACATGGGTGTGTCTTCTGTTCGCTCTTCAGAGCTGCCTTCCACACGTGTTTAAACAGCGGCCAGCACTGTTAGCGGATGCTTGCTGATGTAACACCACATGATCCTCAGTACACAAAGCCCATCCGGGGGCACCGCCTGCTCCCCACAACAAGCCATCTCTTTCCCATCAGCCCCTGCCCAGGCAGCCCCTGCTCCAGCTAAGACAGCCCGGGTTCAAACCCAGCTTCTCCCACCCACATGGCTTTCTTCATCTCCCTGACACACGCTAGCAGGCAGGGCAGCTCTGACATTCATTTTCCATCTCTACCTTCCAGTCTAGGTTTTCAAATGTAGGGCCGAGGGCTGAGGCTCATCCCTGTAAGCTCAGCTATTCTGGAGGTGAATAGAAGATAGGGGCTCAAAGCTAGCTTGGTCAAAATATTAGTGAGACCATCATCTCAACAAAAAGCCAGGTGCATCAGTGCACGGCTGTGACCCAGGCTGCACTACAGTCCAAAGATAGGAAGACGCAGCCTGAGACAGTCTTAGGCTAAAACAAACTTTAACTGTCATTTTATTTTGGGGAACTAATACTGGGACTCGAACTCAGGGCCTGGGCACTGTTTCTGAGCCACAGTTCTACTTCCAGCTTTTTCATGGCTCACAGGAGAGAAAAATCTCACAGACGTTCCTGCCCAGGCTGGCTTTGAACCTCAATCCCCAGACCTCACTCTGCTGAGTGGCCAGGGTTACAGGCATGAGCCACTGGTGCCAGACTGCAAGTGGAATTTTTACCCCAGCAGTTTCGCAAAGTCTCAGACTGCAAAGACAGGAGCGGTAAGTCTTTATTTAAATGGAGATTTGCTCTTAAGTTTATGGATGTCTTTTCTGGGTCAGTTTTACGTTGTATCCCTGTTCTTCACCCTGTTCTTCTAGATGAGAGCAGGACTCTGCTCACGTTCTAAGGTCAACCAGCAGCTTGTAAGAGTGTCCTCAGAGAACACGTCAATAGCCATTTGTTTGCGCGTCTTACCTCTCACCTTTTCTTAGGGGTTTTCTCTTGCAGTGGGATGCTTTCTTTCTGGAGATTCTTCAACTTAGCTTTCGGGCTCTCTTGTGTGGGCTCCTTTAATCTTGTTCGGGATTTCTTGTTTAATGGTACAGAAGTCGGCATAAAATCATCTATTGATGTGCAAGTTAAAAGCAAGAGAAAGAGAATGACTTCTTTGGCAGCTGCAATTTATTAGTGTGTTTTGAGTTTCATAGGTTAGCAAGTTGTGTCATTTCTGGTTTAACAACCATTATTGGCATGGTTTGTCTTTGTTTTCACTCATCCATTTCAACTCCTCTTTGCTGGCCTTTACTTTTAAAATACCAATGCAGGGCTGGGAAGGTGGCTCAGTGGTAGAGCGTTTGCCTTGCATGCTTGAGGCCCTGGGTTCGATTCCTCAGCACCACATAAGCAAAAAGAAAAAAGCCGGAAGTGGCGCTGTGGCTCAAGTGGTAGAGCTCTAGCCTTGAGCTGAAGAGCTGAGGGACAGCGCCCAGGCCCAGAGTTCAGGCCCCACGACCGGACCCAAAAAAAAAAAAAATACCAATGCATCCAAGACGAGCTCCCTAAAAACTACAAACACAGCCAGGTGCCAGTAGGTAGCTCCCACCTGTAATCCTAGCTACTCAAGGGACTGGCGTCTGAGAGTGGAAGCAGAGCCAGCCTGGGCAGAAAAGCCTGTGAGACTCCACCTCCAACTAACCAGCAAAAGGAGAAGTAAAAAACCTGCTTCTGGACTAAGGGGAATATCTCAGAAGCAGATTATTTGCCTAGCTATGTGTGAGGCCCTGGACTGAATTCAGATACGGGGAAGAATAATCCTAATATGATGCTTCTCAGAGTGTGTGTGTGTGTGTGTGTGTAGGCTGGGGCTTGAATTCAGTGCCTGGACACTGTTCCTGGGCTTTTTGTGCTCATGGCCGGTACTCTACCATTTGAGCTACAACTCCACTTCCAGCTTTTTGGGCATTAACAAGAGACAAAGAGTCTCATGGGCTTTCCTGCCAAAGCTGGCTTCGAACCTTGATCCTCAGATCTCAGCCTCCTGAGTAGCTAGGGTGGTGGGCGTTAGCCACCAGTGCCCAGCTGAGTCTAAGACTTTTTGATCCAAGTTCTTTCAACAGCCAAGACAAGTAACAAATAGTATAACATAGCTTAGCTCTGTCTTCAAGGTCTAATTTTTCACAGGTCTACAAGGAGTTAGGGAATTTGTTTAATACCTGAACTTTTATCTGTCAGATAAATTCTGAGGAAATAGATTCCCAAATTCCAAATCCTTTAGGCGGGAAAAAAAGCTTTTGCCTAGCAAGCATGGGGCCCTGAGTTCAAATCTCAGTACCATTGCCACAAAAACAAATCACTACTTACCATCACTGTTGGAGTCCTCCATCTGTGAGTAATTGACAGGTTTCTTATTTCTATGGCCAAGAGAGAGATTTTTCATTAAGCAGAAATGTCAATTTCTTATAGTCATCATGAATAAAGCAAAACACCTGAAAGTCTGTAAATCGAAAAGATGACCTGAATTTACAGCAAGGACTTGGCAGTAATTAGAAAACTAAATTACACTTTTTCCAATACAGAAAACTATGAATCCAGATAACTCCCAAAGGAAAGAAAATCTCGCTAATTAATTAGTTACAATTTACAGGCTTGTAGCTATTGGCTATTTTTTTTTTTTTTTTTGTCAGTCATGGGGCCTGAACTCTGGGCCTGGGCGCTGTCCCTCAGCTCTTCAGCTCAAGGGGAATGCTCTACCACTTGAACCACAGCACCACTTCCAGTTTTCTGGTGGTTCATTGGAGATAGGAGTTTCACAGATGTTCCTGCCCAGGCTGGCTTCAAACTGAGATCCTCAGATCTCAGCCTCCTGAGTAGCTAGGATAATAGGTGTGAGCAACCAGTGCCTGGCAACTGCAAATAGTTTTATTTCTGTCTAACAGAATGGAGAGTAAGATGGTAAATGACTTTTTTCCCACCCCTGAAATAGTGTGGCAGGCACCTCAAAGGTCAACCCCAGACAGGGTTTTCACTGCAACAGGAGTGAATGCAAGGAGAGGTAGAGGAGGGGGAGCTAGGATGGAGGAGGGGGAATTCTGAGCTCCTGGCTGCTCTGGCTGGGGACCCCCACAACCACCACCACTGCATCTAACCTCACCCCCTACCTAACCCCAACGCCTACCACACCCATCACCCCCATCCTCCACCTTGGCCACCTCACCCCTCACCTCCTCTTACCCCACCGCCTCACCCCTGTCATCCCTTACTTCACCCCCTCCCCTCCCCTTACCCCT